GGAGGTGCACTGGTAGAAACAAAAGCGAGCTTCCGTCCCAAGGGTCGATCTAACCCGGACGAGCGAACAGGCAACACAGCAACTACATCCCATCAGTGAGGCTTCTTTAGACTAGGGATCACAGCTGCTCAGTAGACAAGTCTTAGGGCAGCATCAGGAGGAACACATCGCCCCAAAGTCACTCACCCATTGGTTCACTCCGGCGCGAAGTTGGGCTACGACTGCGAGCACGTCGACTGACTTCCCCAGCACACACAGGTTCACTCCCCAGGCCTTCCAAGGGTGGCTGACGTACAGGTAGCACAGCAGGAGCAGGTAGTACAGGACAGACTTCACCATCACCACTCCCACCTCGAAGAGGAAGAGCATCAGCATCGTCAGCATCGCCTTCACCCCCTACAGGAGGAACCATGTCATCCCGGCTTGAAGAGCACGGGCCAACCGGGACAACACCCCCGACGCCAGAACCACCCTCCTCCGCCACGACTTGTAGATGTAGCGGAAGTAGCTCAGGCTGTAGCCAGGCTTGCACAAAGCATTGTTCCATTTTCTCAAGGCACCTGCGAGCGACAGCCAAGACCAGTTGCCTGTTCGCCCCAATGAGCTCACCGCGAACTCCTTCTGGCGGTAGGCAGGCACCACGTCCACCCCGGTCACGAAGCACATCTTGGAGGCATCTCAAAAGATCACCCACCTCGGAGAAAGCGTGGGATGTCAGTCCCAACAACCACCTTCTCTCCTCCACATTGCCCGGCCCAAGGTCCATCGCGCCATCCACCAAGAGGGTCTCCAGCTCCCCAATCACTTCATTACCCACCCCCTGTTCACGTAGACGCTCAACCTCGTACATGTTGAGGCGCTGCATCAGGAAGAGTTCATCCACCCCATCATCATCCCCAACCGTGCTGGTAGAAGACGTCGAGGTGGAACAGGAAGGAGAGGTGCACCCCATCAAAGAAGTAGAGCTGGAAGTCAAGGTGGTCGTCGGTCTCGTGCACACAGTTGACGTAGAAGTCCATGTCAAGGTAGTGGTTGTGCTGGTAGGACGCCCCGGTATGTCAAGGTCATCTTCACCCGCTGAGGACGGAGGCTCGTTGGTACCCCATTCAGAAGGTGGAGCCGCCCCACTACCAGCAGCAACTTCTCGAAGGCGTGCTTGATCACGGCTTTCGCGGTCAAAGGCAGTCCTCGGTGTCCTGTCACGCCCCCTGCTGTCTGCTGAAGCTTCCTCTTGTCGGCGTAGTCGTTCACTCAGCGTCTCCGCCCCAGGATCACTTGGAAACCAGCGTCCCGGGTTTCGTCTTGGTGGCCGACATTGTTCTTGGAGACGCGTTGGAAGTTCTTCCGGCGCGACCCACGCATCATCCAAACCCTGGTTGAAGCATTGAAGGAACGTCCCAGCCAAAACCGCCCCCGGACGACGGCAACGTGCCAACAATCGCCCCCTCTCCGCGTCTTCGGCAGGTAGATGAAGACCTCCATCCACTATGCGCGCCTCCAGGATGACGACCATTTCATTGAGGAGACGAAGCGCCCTTCGTAGCGCTCGGCACATGACCGCCAAAGCCCACATTGACTGCGCCCGAACATGTTGTGGTATATTAGGGTCGTTGACTCTACGCCCCAGCTCCGCCAAGTAGAGGTCGATCTCGCCAACATCGCCACCATGCACCCCCTCGTTGACCAGGTCCTGAAACTCCCGCATGTTGAGGTGTTGCACAAAGCTTTGAACATCCGTGTCTTCCGCCTCCTCATCATCTTCACGACCCGGGACATGGCCACGCCGTGAGCGACTCCTGCTGCGACTCGCTCGCCCCGTTGTAATGCTGCTCGTCCCTGGTTCACGAACTTCGCCACCAGGTGCAGCACGAGGAGGTGGTGGTGGAGGAAGAGGTACACCCTCAGGTAGTCGTGCAAGTAGCCTGACGTGGAAGGCGATGAGATCTTCAGCGACCCGCATAAGTATGCCTGTGAGCCGTCCCGTCAGACCAAGCAGTCGAGTGCATTGGGCGGCAATGCGTGGTTCACGCACAACCGGGAGGTGGCACTGCGGTTGTGTTTGTAGGCGTCGTTCCAGGATCTCCGTGAGAGACTGCAGCGTCCCGAGGACATGTCTCCACCTGATGAGCCATGTGCGCAGCGCCCAACGCCCCTCAGGCCCCTCATCCATCTCCTGCAGGTGGTGCAGCTGACGAAGCAGATCTCGTAGTTCACGTCGTCCCTGGTCATAGATGCCCAGCCCAGCGAACTCCCCTTCCTCGGACATAGTGACTTGCATGAAGGACGCGTCATCCCCAGCCTCCGGCGCACTAAAACTCTCCCAGTCTTCCCACGTACGACGGTCCCATTGACGAGGAAGAGCAGGAGCATCTGCTGCATCTTCTTCTCCAGGGCGTGTCCAGCTTTCGACGCTGGCGTCAGTGTCCTCCGAGTCATCCTCGTTCCCGCTTGTATCCACCTCATGCGAACTGCTGGAGGAGCAGGAAGTGGCGTCTTCAGACACTTCATCCACCGTCTCCAGCTGGCGCCCCGTGCCACCTGCCGTCCCAGACTGTGCACGACGACCCTGAGCACGAGGTGGTCTGCCAAGTGTAGCTGCCCGCGTCGCGGAAGTACTGCCCGCAGTGTCGCCCAAAGGTTCCTGCTGAGGAGGGATTTGTTCACCCGAAGCATCGCCTTCTTGTTGTGGAGGATCGACAGCAGGTTCAGGCTCATGAGCAGGAAGGCGAGAAAGGTCGAGGCTCGGCACAACTGGTTCTCGCGGAAGGAGATGTCTGTTGAGAAGATCGGCAAACTCTGCCGCCCCCTCACGTCCCCTTTGGTTGTTGTTGTTCATCGCCCGGGCCGTTGCACTGTTCTCCATATCCCGGCGCCACGCTGGAACAAACTCGCCCCGTTGCCACTGCCGCATTCTCTCCTGGCGCTTTCCCTGCCTCACGCGCCCCTGGCCTCCATCATGAAAGCGTTGCTCTTCATCACTGCGTGGACGCCCAACCCAGTGACCACGTCGAAAGAAGCCTTCTGCTCGTGGGCGTACAGGAGAATGTTCTGCAGGTTCACGATCACCATGCGTCCCAGTGTCTTCGCGATCGGCTTGTTCTTGTTGCCACTCCCAAGCGCCAGTGTACTCATCCCATTCGTCATAGCCACCCCAGTCGTTTCCTGGTTGCCACTGCCCATTCCTCCCATTGCCTCCATCTCGCCCACGTCCCCAGGACCAGGGTTCACGACCCTGCCAGCCGCCATGCCACCCAGCTGCATCTCCATGTCCTGACCCGGTTGCATCACTTCCATCCGGACGTTGTCGTTGAGCTTCATGATCTCGTTCTCGTGCATCATGCCAGGAAGAGGAAGATGACGACCCACTCCAGGTTTGCCAACGTCCCCCTTGCCAAGAGGAAGAGGAGGAGGAATCGCTACGAGAGTTCGAGGAACCACTGGTGGGGACGTCCCGGTTCCAATTGTTGCTGTTGCTGTTCCAGGGGCTATCGCTGTGTTCCTCAGGCGGCACAGCAAACGCCCTCCAGCTGCAGGCTGCCACGACGACAAGGAGCACGAAGAAGAGGAAGCGCCCCCGTCGCACATCTCTCGCCATGTTGCTAGTTCCAAACTACGCTTCCTAGGAAAAGTGTAATACTCATGCAGGAAAGGTTCACGTCCTCAAATACAATCAAGACCTCGTAGAAGTATGTGAGTTCAGCACGGACAACTGCGACATCTACCTCAAAGTCAGGAAGCTGGCCGCGGCGTAAGTCAAGGCATGTCAGGACAACTCAGCAAGGCAGGCTTCACAACATCCCGGCACACCAGATCAACACCCCAGCACTCTTCACCCAGAGCACAGACAGAGTTGACGCCCCCTAGACCAAGGGACATCCAGGCTTGGGGCTTATGGTTTAGGGCTTTGGGTTTAGGGCTTAGGGTTTAGTAACAAACTCTAAGGGACACGAC